TGATCGCCCCACCTAGACCGTACCTGACCCTCTAGCCCGTCAATAAAGGCAAAGTACTGCTGGTAAGTGGTGGCGGCGTGGCGATTTGCCCCTGTTGCTTCATCTTGTAGGCTTGGACGACTGCTCTGCTGGTCAACGCCTGCGCGTCGAAAGTAGTCCAAATTTACGATCTCGCAGTCTGTCATTACAACACCCAAAGACCACGTAAAACCAAGAGGGTACTCCGGTAGTGTCATCAGCAATTGGTCATACAAGGTCGTTGGAGGAGCAGGCGCGTTTGCTGGGGCAGCTGTAGCTTTTTGCTCTTCTTGTTGCGAAGCATCGCCCTTCTGGGTTTGTTCTTGTCTAGCGTCGCTAGTCTCCGCCAATAGTGCGTACCTATTCCCAGCACCAGTGGCGAATGCCGTCCACAAAGAAGCGCTGCTGCTCACGTAATTCGCCATGTCTTTTGGCAGAAGAGAGGACGAGGAGCTGAAAGTGTCCTCTTCGCTTCCACTTTCAGGGAAAGACTCGCCTTGTCCAGTCTTTTCTCTCCTTCTTTCTGAACCTGAAGAAGAGTCTTGATCTTCTTCCACATCTCCCACTTTCATCCCCGACATCCGACGCGGCCAGAAGAGCATCTTGCTCTCCATCCATTCAGGCTTCGTCGAAAGAAAAAGCTGAGTCCACGAGTACAAATTCTGACTGTTTGCTGGCGTCGATCGAGTGATATATTTGTAACCCAATGCTTTAGACAGGGATGGCGCTTGCGCTTGGGTCCTCTGCGACGGTTGTGCACCTTCACCTCCCGAAGTATTCTTGGTCGCCTCTTCTTTCTTCAGCATTTCCGCATTACCGGGGTATTCTGGAGGAAACACACTCCCCATTACAGCCCTCGGAAAATAGGAATCAGTGTCCAAACCCCAAGCGAATCTGAAGTTCCTCAAAGCCGGATGCTCAAACAGAGGGCCTGCGCGATATCTGGCTTGCTCCGAATAGCCAGCACGTAAATGATGGGCAATGTTTTTCGAGGATGAGCTCACCGCAGTCATGCTTTCCCAATTTTCCACTGTTTTCGACTTTTCCATCACATAAGTCCATACCCGATTTGGAGTCTTCTGCAGTATTTCCTTCAACCTATCGTAGACACCGCGACTATCGGAATCGGGGGAATCAAGAACAAACCCATGATCATGCCACACCAGAACCGGATAGTCCCAGTTTCTGTTGAACATCCGCCACAAATTGTCCAGAGCAAAATTGAGCTCCTCTAGATGCGTTGCGTCGATGATGTAATGGATGCAATTGGGCTTCTCGTCGTTGCTAAGAGACTCTGGAACTCTTGGCAAATCCACACTCTCGCACACTGGACCGCGGTAAGGCGGAAAGCATTCGCACAGCTTGGGCGCAGAAGAATCGCGTCGGACACAATGACCCCTACCGGAAGCCTCTAGAAAAGCGGCTACGCCAGGACGGGGAGATGTGTAAACTAACTCGAGGAGGTGTTGATAATCTGGAGACGCCTTTCTCTGGTGTTTGCTTGTTCCGGTCTTCGATTCAGCTCCAGAATCCTGTAGAGCAGAAGAATCAAAATAATACGAGGAGGAAGGAGGCCTCACTAATCCTCGATCCACGTATATCCGTCGTCTCTCTCCCACAGAAAGCCCATCAAAGATTGCTTTCACATCGGTGCCTTTGTATTCGTCTACATTCAAAAACCATCGCTCCAATCCCAGGAAGTATCGACTTGTCGCACTGCAATACCATCCATCTAGCCACTTCGAGAATAGATAGTTGCCACTTGAAGACGTTGCTCTATAGGATTGAGATTGGCCACTCGTCCCAGGCCCAGCTATCCCTGTCGTCATGGTCGTCGACACATGTGCAAACACTGCAAAAATCTTGTCCACTTGCACTAGTCGATAGCCTAAGGGGTGCAATTCATCCGCAGTGGATTGGAGGCTGCACTGCGATAGCGCGAGCATGCGAGACCGCAGACTTTCTTGAGCTAGTTTGTCTGTGACCTCTGGCGCTGATGTCTTTACAGCAGGATCTTGCTCACTTTCTCGATCATCCCGTTGGCCTTTGTCTCCATCTCCAGCGACAGCCTTCCCATGCAATATCTTCTCTCGCAAGCTGAGATCAGTCAACATCTGTAAGGCCAGGGGTCGAGGTCTAGAACGTATTGGTGGTGGATAAACTGGGTTGATCGGGACGTAGAGTAACTTCGCCACCGTGATACTGTCCGCCGTCAGGTAGTCATTCAGCAAGTCGCAATGTATAACGTGGGGCGACATTGTCAGAAGGTCGACGTCTTCGCCGGGAGCTGGGGTTAGAGGGGACGAATCTAAGAAGTTACTGGCGGCGGTGACAACGAGTTGGCATCTACTTGATTAGCAACGCATGATGTCTATGCAACTACTTAGTTGTGCCCTGTCATTTTGCTCTCACCGTTGACGAAAGAACTCCTGGGAAAAAATATAAATATTTATAAATATAAGCTAAAGCTGCTACGATAAGTTCATCCCTTAACAACAACGGCTCTGTGGTCGCTGGCCAGACCATCACCTCGTCAAAAGCAGACGCTCCCACGCCTCTCGGCATCCAGTGAATGTGGAGGTCCATCTTCAAATCTCTAGCAGTCGCTGTGCGAAGCACTGCTTCGCTTTCTTCTAAGTCGCTTGATGCGGAGGTTAGGAAGGATTTGGACAACGGTTCTCTCGACAAAGCCAAGTAGTAAAGTCTACCAGCCCATGTGTGAGGCAAGCAGACGTCCCAATCCAGTTCCGCAGCTACGCAGGGGTCGCGGCCGTAGTGTTGCTCACCTTTTAGTCGCCAAAAATTGTAACCACATTGAGATCCTAGCGTACTCGTTGATGATGAAGATGCCCCAGGAGATCCAAAACTAGTAAGAATTTTTGTCTGTATCAATTCGCCAGGTCCAGGCTGATGAAAAACGAACTCTCCTGATGCGTCTTCGTAGAGAGCGTTGGAGTTTGATGAAATTGTTTGAGGCGTCTCTGCTTGTTGATGCCTGTCGCGAAAAGCTGCTTTCTGTCTAGCGCGTGCGCGGCAGGCAGGACACAACGGCCGATAGATCGGCAATTCTCGCTGCGAAGCGTGAATCATACCCGTTATTTCTGCAGCACGAATCTGCAACAGGTCAACAGGAAGAACGTCTCTGGCTTTTCTCACTTCCACCATCTCGTCTTGTCCCTCTATCACTTCTGGGTCAGGATTCCACACAAATGACTTACCAAAATGCTCTAAAAGCGCCCCGGTCTGTGCGTCGTCCTTTTCGTCTGTCTCTCGCGCTTCATCATCAACGGCATGATCATTACCGCCGTCACGGCCTTCATATACCAATTCGTCTCCGTCTCCTCTCTCACGCCCTCGTCGAAGATTCCTCAGACTAACTTCTCTACTCCTTGCGTAAGCCTCTGCTACAGGGAGACCTGGCATACGTGAGGCGATTTGTTCCAAAGACATTCTCTCTGTATCTGCTAATCCTGCATGTGCAGCCTCACCCGCTTGCGCTCTTCTGGCTTCCACAAGATTCCGGGTATCTAAGGCCCAAGCGGAGTCAGCATCGATCATTGAAGAGATGCCGAGTGCGTCATGCCTCTTTCTATCACCGTTCTCGTCGTGGCTGTTCCTTAACGAGCTAGAGCCTGTGACACTTCTACCAGTTTCATCTCCACTTTTTCCAGCTTCTGCCTCAGTAGTTGTAGCTGCAGTCCCGACACCACCCCAACTGTGACCTAGTAAGAAATTGTAAAACTCCACATGCCCAACCTGCGTCCAAATCGTCACGCCAGGCACCCTGGCTACTTCTCTGGCGAAAACCAAGACGATCATGCAAACCGCGAGGTAGAGAGCTTCTAGATTGCGTAAGAGGGGATTAGAGAAGATACGCTTCAGCCGCTTGCTCTGTACTTATCGTGACGCACGAATTACTTTCAAACTCAACGGCGACGCTGAGGACTGTCTTCTAGCTCTACTCTCGATTTGTTGTAGGCTTTACATTTACATTTGATGTACCCATAACAACCCCCAATGGCCCTTCGTCATGTCCTCCATCTTCTAACTCGCGCATTGATTGCAGCCTCTTCGTTGACCAGTCTGCAAATTCAGAGAAAAGCAGCAGCTTTGAGTTTGTATTTCTGTACTGAAATCCTAGCTGATACACAGCGCCAGTGAAGAGAGTCGTGAAACGAAGCACAAACTTTGCGACAGCACGTAGAGCGAGGCTTA